GGCACTAATGATTCAATTACCTTAGTGTGTACTGTGTGGCATTAATGATTCAATTCCTTAGTGTGTACTGTGTGGCACTAATGATTCAATTCCTTGTGTGTACTGTGTGGCACTAATGATTCAATTCCTTGTGTGTACTGTGTGGCATTAATGATTCAATTCCTTGTGTGTACTGTGTGGCATTAATGATTCAATTCCTTGTGTGTACTGTGTGGCACTAATGATTCAATTCCTTGTGTGTACTGTGTGGCACTAATGATTCAATTCCTTGTGTGTACTGTGTGGCATTAATGATTCAATTCCTTGTGTGTACTGTGTGGCACTAATGACGCATTGGCTTGTGTGTACTGTGTGGCACTAATGACGCATTGGCTTGTGTGTACTGTGTGGCACTAATGATATAATGTTTTATATTAAAACTTATGTACTTGAGATTATATGTTTATTTGGCTAGAATTTATCTTATTGTTAAATAGCTGAATAGCCAATTTCTAACAAAATGATTCATGCAGCAAACTTCTTCATTTATTTGTATGTTTAATGAAAACTGAGGATTAATTCTTCCTCGTCTCAGTATAGGCATATTTACCAACACCATATAATTACTTTAATATGTCATAAAGTATTAATGTGACAAATCTAATTCTTCTCCCTAGATACAACAAGTCTTCTGAAGGTTTATACAATAAATGGTAAAACCGTAGGTGAAGTCTATACTTCTCATGTTACTGCTCTCTGCTACTCCTCAGCTCCCGAAGGAGTGTCCATCAATGTAATAGCCACTGGTCATTTCAATGGAAGTATTAGGTTAGTTGTTTACAGCTTAATCTTGATCCAAAGTGTTAGTAATAAATTGTATGTTAACAAAACTTTATTGAGCATTTTAATCTAGTTGATCTATGATGATGATAATAATAATAAGAGTGTGTGTGTGTGTGTAGTAAAGAGCCTAGAAACCTGAAATTTTGCATCCATACTAAGTGGGCCCTGAGGGTGTGCACCTGGGTATTATTACTTATCTTCATGCATGTGCATCTTTTTATGAGGCAAGCTAGTGAAAAACCACATAGAAAAGAAATGTGACTGCCACATCTCCAAGAGGAAAGAACTTGGAAACCAGAATTTTTGCACCCATACTAAGTGTACCCTGAGGGTTTTCCTCCTTGTATTATTACCTATCTTATCCATGTGCATGCATGCTTGTGCATCTTTTTAATGAGGCAAACTAGCGAAAAACCACATAGAAAAAAATTTGGTTCCTTATATAAGAACTTCTAATATATAGAAAAGCCAGTGCATTTTGGTAACAATGCATTCCAACAATGGCTTTTATGTCATGTTTCTTAGCAACAAAAGTATAACATAATATTGTTGTTAGTCTATCTATTGAAAGTATAAAATGAAATGTATAAACTACAAAATTCAAAAAATATTTGTTGATTTCTTGATTTAGTCTGTTAATTAAATTCAGAAATGATTTAAGTTTAAAATTGGATTGATATTTTTACTTGCATGATAGATTTTATGCAGTTATCTCGCACTCTGTCTTTACTTTAGGCATATTTATTAATTTCTTTAAATGATACCAACATTCACTACACTTACAAGGTTTCACAGCCCCCTTGCACCCCGTCACTAAAATCATAATGTATGCCAAAATAGAAACAGATAGGCAGCAATTCATTTTCATAAACCAAAAGAATCTCCGAGTTGAAAACTGTGTCTACTTGCGGGATGCTAAAATAGGTTCAGAATACACATACTGACATAGTCATCTAGAATATATCAACCTCATAACCCGAGCAAAGCCGGGTACTTTAGCTACTCGTTAAATAAAAGGTTTGGATGTGGAAATCATTAATTTCATTTTTCAGCTGGAATTTTAAACAATGGAATTAATAATTAATATATTCTACATTTAATTGCACAGTAGTAACCCCAACAAAACAAGATGCTAAAGTTATGTCTCAAGTTTTCAAAAATGTTATAATTCTTTGTGGGACTAATACAATTTATTGTACAGTAACTTGCTGCCATTAACCTTTCACAAGTCTACAGCATTGCAACAGTAAAACATGAAAGAAACAAATTACCTTTTGTCATTCTTTTCAAGTCTAAACTCTACCTGTCAATGTTCAATCTTCAGTCCAGTGATAAAACTAAATAAAACAGTGAAATGTAGTCTAATATCAATAGAGGATTGGCAGTATTTTTCACCATTCTTATCTAACCAACATAGGAGTGAATCAACCCACCTCTCTTAATTACAAGCATAATATAACAGGACTAAACAGTGAAAAGTCGTCTAATATCAATAGAGGATTGGCACCATTCTTATCTAACCAACATAGAAGTGAATCAACCCACCTCTCTTAATTACAAGCATAATTAATATCAGTAGAGAATTGGCAGTATTTTTCACCATTCTTCTCTAACCAACATAGAAGTCAATCAACCCACCTCTCTTAATTACAAGCATAATATAACAGGACTAAACAGTGAATCTTATTTTTTCATTCTCATTGTTTCTATATCTCAACTCCTTTATATTCTTTTTTTTTGTTCCCTTTAAAAGCTTTTTTAAATATCTGGATCCATTCAGGGCTTGTTAAATATCTGGATCTGTTGTTTTATTTTTTTGGCCTCATTATTCCTCTATCCTTTGAACCTTCACAACAATGTTTAAAAGATTTCAGATCTGAATCTGTTTGTGGTATGAAGTGAGATTTCAACTTGATTCTTATTAGAGTAAGATATCACTCACAGCTTTATAAGAAACATAACTTTGTGGTTTGTGTGATTATTGACATAGTCCATGTTTATTTACATAGTTAGTTCTCAAAACGAAGGAATGGTTTGTCATTTATATATATAAAAAATTGTCCCGGTAATGATTGGCCTACTAGTCTTGCATCGGTTGTGGGAAACGTTTTGGAAAGTCTGATAAAAGATGCTTTACAAAGACATTTAATGAAGATTAATGTTGTTGGATAGTGAACATGGTTTCACTTTCAAATCTCTTGATATTTTTTGAAAAGGTTACTGCTTACGTAGATAAGGGTAAAGGTGTAGATCTGGTTTGTCTGGATTTTCACACTGTATTTGACAAGGTGCCATATAAAAGGCTTGTAAAACAAATGATCTCTATATGTGTGGGAGGGATAAGTGGATTTTACTGCTAGACTTATCACCTTGTAGTGATGTAAGTGGAAATATGAATTACTCACCAAATTTTTAAAGTATTCTCACACTCTCCAGTTTCTATCACCATTATACTTCTGTCCCAATCTTTACTTGTATTACATGAACTTTTTCCTGAGGTGTCTCTAACAAGTACATTTATAAATAGCTACAGATTGATACAGTTATGATTTTTCCTGAAGTGTCTCTAACATCTACATGTACAAATAGCTACAGATGGATACAGTTATGATTTTTCCTGAAGTGTCTCTAACATCTACATGTACAAATAGATAGATTGATACAGTTATAATTTTTTTCCCTTCATTTTCCGTTAATTAAGGTTTTTGTGAATTTCCTGCTTCAGACTTTCAGAACACTTGTTAAATACCACATTTTTGGATGGAAGAAGAAACATTGTAAATTAGTGATAAAGTGAGGATCTTTCTACATGAGTGAGTTAAAAGTAATAATCATTCCAACTGTTAAGTTTTTATTTCTCATCATGGATTTGGCAAGTACTTTTAGTTTTTGTGTACACATGTGTTGGTGATGTTTGTAAAATTTAATTAGATAATGATAATTATTTCTAGGTTGTGGAGTTCATGGGATTTGAGTCCCGTCAGACTGATCAAGGCTGAACGATTTACCTGTCCTGTAGTTTGGTAAGGAGATTTGTTTTCATATTTCCAGCCACATATTCAATGAATGTTAGCTTTGTATTGTAAAATAGGCATGCATAAAACTTGCATGAAATTATTTTCTTACTTTGTCTCTTTATGTAATGTAAGGAACTTATTTATAAGTGATTAAAGTTTTTATACCTGTAAATGTTACCATAAAGTTAGTGATATGTCTGTTTCTCTGTTTTATTGTGTTATCAATAATATTATTATATATATAGCCAGACACACACAAACAAGACTATATTTCTTGTTGACCTAAAAAATTTCTTATTAAATTTATTAAAGAACAACTAAATCTCTTACATTCATCTTGGCTGCAAAACTGTCTATTGTAATGATATGATTCTAAGACTGAAAATCCTTTTATGGAAACTAACTAAATAACTTCAGTGTAATGTTGGTTAGAATACCTCTCTGGAAACATATAAACTTGTATTACCTAACAAAACCCACATAAGGACCAGCTGAAAACTGTAGTTTTGGACAGTATAAGTCCTCATCAGTCCAGTGTGTTACATAAAACACACATGATGACCAGCTGAATACTGTAGTTTGGGCAGTATAAGTCCTCATCAGTCCAGTGTTACATAAAATACACATAATAACCAGCTGAATACTGTAGTTTTGGGCAGTATAAGTCCTCATCAGCCCAGTGTTACATAAAATACACATAATGACCAGCTGAATACTGTAGTTTTGGGCAGTATAAGTCCTCATCAGCCCAGTGTTACATAAAATACACATAATGACCAGCTGAATACTGTAGTTTTGGGCAGTATAAGTCCTCATCAGTCCAGTGTTACATAAAATACACATAATGACCAGCTGAATACAGTAGTTTTTGGCATCAGCATTACACAATGACCAACTTAAAACTGTCGAGATCTTTTGTCATGATGAAATGATAGTAAAAGTGTACTTTAATGTTTTTTTTCTGGTTTAATCACAAAGCAACTATACTGTGGATATTTTATATTGTGCTTTAATTACAATACAACCATATTGTCTTGAGTTTATTCCCTGGTTTGATCACAATAAAACCATAAGGTAGATATTTATTTATCTTGGTTATCATAGTGCTATCATGGTGTAAATATTTTGTTCTGTCATTTATCTAAATGTTACTAAATTCCATTTTAAATAAAAGCATTAAATGTTAGATTGTATATTTTATTCCTTGCGAGTTTTAAAATCATCTCGTAGGCCACTTTAATTAATCTGGTAAAGCCTGCAGAATGAGTTAATATGCCCACAAAGATCACACCGGGCAACATCAACAAAATATTTTCTCTGCTACTAGAAAAAAATGCAACTGTTTCCGAGTAATTTGATGATGTTGATTGTACAAATCATGATGAAAATTACTGATCACCTCTAGTTTTCAAGTTACAGTAAATTTATTCAAAATAATCTTATATACACCTGGAAAAAGTTAAGCACCCCCGTGTTTTTTTCAAGTGATTCAGATTCGACGTTCTTGTGACTGATTATAAATTACCATTCAATCT